TCTGTTTTTTGACATCTTAGTGCCTAGATGGTGGATGGCTTTCAAGATTTTAGTGGGGCTGTTTCTTACTGATTGGAGGCTAATTAATAGACATGTTGAAGGAAGGGTTGGGCTTACTGAATGATGCGTTTGGTTTGGCATAGGTCTGCATTGCACTCATCTCTTTTAAACTGCCTGTGTGCAAATCTGGTTTATTTCTGTGATCTGAAAAAAACAAACAAAAGCCATTGACATAGTTTTTTTCATTCAGCAGCTTTTTAGGCTTTACATGACCATACTTTTGGCTTTCGCTTTTTAAGAATCTGTCTTCTGGTGGGCTTTTGGAAACTCTCCCAGGCAGACTTTTTTCTCCTGCTAGAATCCAATTCCTCAATAGTGAATGACCCTGATTTTATTACCTTGAGGAGCACAACCATTTTTTCACTTGGTCTTGCCCACTTTTTTGTTAAATGTTCTTTTAAGTAGAAATTACTTCAACTACCTGTGGAAGATGGACATTCCTATTCTTATATTAAAACCTTCTCATGCCATTCTCATTAAGTTCTGCAGTCTTTACTCACTTTGATATTAGAGATTCAGTTTAGTTACTAACCTTCACATGATTTTTATTATGAGTGTTTCACTAACTGAAACTTCTTATTCATTCTGAGTATTACCTATTTTTGTATATTGACAAGACAAAGTTAGGAAGGCTGCTCATGTTTTCATACCACCTGCTGAATAGTCCTGTGGGTCCTTTATTTGAGCACAGAAGACATCTCTGGATGGCTGACTGCCCAATAAAGTCTTTTCCTTTGTTGAAAGGTCATTGAACTTAAGTTCAATTAATAGCTGTGGCAGTCATGCAGAGTCTACCTGTAGCTGGGATCTGTTGGTCTGCCATAGAGAGCTTCACTGAGTCATCTGAGTGCTGTGTTTTCATTTCCATTTCAAGGCTGCTTTAGAAAGAGCAGTTTTTCATTCTTCATTCTAGTAGGAGCTTTTGAACCTTTTTGCAGTCTATTTACAATGTACAGTGTTTCTCGCAGTGTTTATACATACAGACAGACCTTGAAGGTGAAAGTTTGGCTATTTACTATAAATTATTTTTCTTGAGATAAATTGTGTCTATGTGCATTCAGTAATCCACCACATCTGCTCTACCTTGAGCAACTGTGGCATTCTACATTGAGAGGAACCATACCCTACCTATAAATCTTTCAGCATAAGCACAAGGGATAGGGCCTGTGTGTTGTCCTGCAGAGACGGCAGAGTAACAAATAGTCTAATTTAAAATACTTCAGCATGGTGAAAAATAAGTAATGTGTTTTCACTTTTTATGAGGATAACTTCTTGGTTTTTTTTTTCCCTTTGTCAAATAAATGAAACAGGGGGGTTCCCCCCCCCCCCTTTATTTTCCCTAATTAAAATCCAAAAAGTATTTTGACTGGGAAAAAGTATACTAAGAAGAAGTTACTATTTTTTGATAAGTTCTAGGAAGTAATGTCTGTCTGTATCTGTTATATTAATTTTGTTAAGGCTTTCTTTAGGTGAGTGTTTCGTGTGTGTGAACCTTTTAGCTATGGAGACTGTTGCTTTTTTAATATCAAGCTATCTTGATCACTGCTGAAGTGATGTTAATTACTTAACTTCATTAAAAGATGCCTGAAGAGTGGTTCATGTTTTCATTTGTTGTCACTGGCCTTCTGGAAAGTTTTGTTATTAAAAATAGCAGGCACAAATTGCTGATTGGAATAAAGTGATTAGTGAAGTTTGCTTTTCTGTTTTACCTAAGGTGATTGTAGCATATTGATGTGGTAGCCTCTGAGTTAAGAGCTGGGCTGTGACAGCAATTAAACTACAAACAGGTTTCATTAGTTGGCTTGGGTTGAAAACAACAACAAAATCAAGCAAAAATTATTAGAGGTCTGAGAAGACAGGGCCAACAAGGAAAGACAGGTAGCATTTTTTATGTGAAATGAGAGGAATTAGGGAAGACACGATGAATTTCAAAATAAATAAACTTAATTTCAGGAGGACTGCATGTATTTTGCTGGCATGAAATCTGTAAGTATTGGTATTTTCTAAAACATTCTCCTCCTCCTTTCTGCCCCTTCCCCCTTAGGAGAGGCAGAATTACAGATGTTTGTGTTGAAATTTGCTCACAATTTGCCCTGAGGGGGAAAAAAAAAAAATTAAAATAAAATTGTAATATTTCTTTCAAAAATGTTTTAACACTAAAATCACAAAAGCCCAATAATACTTCTCAATTGTATAACACTTGAATTTTGTCATTTTACTTAAACTTGTTTAAATTTTCTTTGCTTTTGAAAAATCAAAAAAAACAATCTTACCCAATCTAGTTTTACCTGCAACTATTTCTCCTCTATATTTAGGCTGCCTAGAAAAATAAAGCAGAATACAGCCAAGGTACACATTGTTAATGGAATTCTAGTCCACTTAATGCAGTGTTTCAGAGCTATGACTGAACCATTTGAGGGTGTTTGAAGCATTTTTGGTGCCAGCGATCCATGGATAAGAATTCACAAGAACCACTTTTGAAGTAGTCATTTGGTTGGGCACTCAAAAAGTAAATTAATCACATGCAGTAAAGAAAGGAGTCTTGGATTTGAGGGAATGATCCAGTCAGATACAGGGTAAATGACCAAAAAATAATGACTGTTTAATAATCTTGTAGCAGGCGAAGTGTATTTTTATACCTCGTTAGCAGATTATGTATATATTTTAGAGTTTAGTCTTGTGTTTTAGTTGTCTGTATGTAAAAATGATCTTGATGAAAAGCAACCATCTTAAAAATGTTTTCAAATGGTAGCCACAGAGATCATATGTCTATAATAAGCCTGTGGTTTAGCACTGACTCCACCAGTAGTATATGAGCTATAGAGTACATAGTTGCTTAAAATCCTCTCTTTGTAAGTGATGTATTCACTTTGGACTAACCAATACACTCTGATAATGACTTTGGCCTCAGAAAGAGCTGTAAAAAGGCCATGAATAAGCATATGGAATAAGGGTGGAGTGCAGGATGGAGCCTGAACAAATAACTGAGAAGAGATAGCCTGTTCTGTAGAAGAAGAGGCCTGCAGACAGCAGCTACTGAAAATGCTTCTGGTAAGCAGGCAGTCTGTGCCTTACAATACTGCAAGTGTAATTTGAAGTACAATGTACTGATAAGAGGATGTGGGAGGCTCTGGAAAAGACCTGATAATTTTGACTGTACCAGTGGAAACCTTGAATTCCTGGAAATCTCATTTGCTGCATTTTTTGTGAAGAGTGGAACATTTAATTTTATGTAAACAGAGGATATGACTGTTCAGTTCAAAACTGGCATACATGCAATTACTTTGATAGTTTAGGGACCAAGACCTTTGTGTGACAGGAAAAAAAAATTGTGTTCTAAACTGATAAATTTGTGTGTTTTTGTTTTTTTTTTTAAAAAAAAGTTATTTTAAAAAGCACTAGGTAAATAGGCACCCACTCTCCCTAATTATTTAATTTGGTTGCTAATGAAAAATGTACTTTGTCATTTTTCCATACTATTTAAGAAATCTGTTCTCCCCACTGACCTTTTCAGAAGGCAGGGTAATTGAAGTGACAGCCTGAAGAGGGAAGAAAGGATTTTAAATATCCTGTTTTTCAAATCAAATGGCATCTACTTGTCTCATGCTTATGGAGACCTATTTTAGAGAAGAAAATGAACCTTCCCACTCCCACTGAATTAACTGAAGTTTGTTATTTCTGGGAACTGACACATGAAGTAACTGTTCCGCACTCTAGAGAGAAATTGCTGAGCTTGAAGACAGTGATGTTGCTGTAATTTAAGAGTGAATTTAAATGTCTCCAAGGGTTATGTGAGTTTCTCCATGTAAAGTTAGGGGTTAATGCATTATTCTGTCACCTTTCCTAATATTTAGTGTGTGTTGCCATTTTTTTTTTTTAATTCAGAAGTCCTGTTGACTTCAGCTGAAGCTCTGCATAAAAATATATATTTCAGAATTTGCCTGAAATGTTTCATATTGAAGGTATTTCTAGTGTTGCTTTCATGTGGTATGGATTTATAAATTATACAGCATGAATTGTAGAGGGAGGGATGGAAAACGTATTATACTTGTATTTGAAACCAACACATGGCCGGAAAAAAGCTTTCGTTCCACAAGGTACCTGTTGCTCCTATTGAATATTACAGAAGCTGAGTTCTATCCCTTTACTCTGTTTCTTCTGTGTCTTCAGTCCCCAGATGACAGGAAATGAGTTGTTGCAAATGAGCCTGATCTGTGCTTCTTTGAGGTCACTCTGTGTGTGGCGGATGTTCCGGCTGCATCCATTCTCCACTCTATTCTGTGTTGCATTTCCTCTGCTTTGAATTGGTGGGAAGGATCAAGGGAAGTATGGTGGCACCAGGTCACCATGTAAAATAAGGCCATGGAGCACCAGAAAAAACAACTTCCTAGGTCATTCTGGATAAAGTACAGTTTAGTAACAAACTGATCAAAATTCAGAATTTGTTTTGATTCAGTCAGACAAAGTAAACTGCCTTGGTAAATCTAGGTTACAATTGTGGGACTTTAATTTGGAGATTAAGCATCAGTCTTTTGTTAGCTTCATCTCCACTTAGGCTGAAAGCAGATTCTGAAGTAGGAGGAGTCTGTTCAATGGTAGTTGCAGCTTTGAACCAGGTTATTCATCCTGATCCTTTGGATAATATTATTGAAATCACTGGCAAGACTTTACAGCTGCTTCCCCAACCCCCCTTTAAAGTGTTCTTCTTCTTGTAAGCCATTGGATGATTGTACAGTACAATATACACTAAGCACATTGTTTAGCACGGTGATAAAAATTATGCATGTGTTCCCAGTTAAAACTGACTGTTACTACTATAATGCTGTCTTAAAATAAAATTTTAATTGATGCGAGTCAAATCTTTGTTTGCCAGAAAGAAAAGTCACATCTTATCCTTTTTATGCTCACTGAATTTTCTTTGTGTTTTCTTTTTTAAATAGTGATTCCAGAGTTTATTAGTCAAGTAAATACTGCATTGGAGAGCTTAAGCAAGAACACAGTGCATCTGTTTGATGACAACCAGTTCGTGGATATATCCAAGAAGGTGTATGATACAATTCACAACATCAGATGCTCTGTCATGATGATTCGGGTAAGGTTTTTGTGTTTGTTAATGTAATACTCATTTCCCAGATAGCTGGGGACATCAGGGCATTTTCTGGAGAATTTAAAACTCTGTATGTGAACAATGTCCTAAAGCTTAGATCCAGATTGAACTGCTCTGGAGAATTTGGATTACTGTGAAACACACATAGTTAAGAGGGCTAGAATTGCATGGAGTACCAGATCAGAATATTGCATACAAGTATCTTCTGTTCTTTAAAAATATTTATTTCTGTTTGGTTGATAAAGACCTTCATTCACTTCGTTAGAGGTCGGCGTGTGGCTACAAACCCAAATCTGCTTGTAGCTCTTCAATGTTAAACTTATTTAGTGGAATGTAGAAACAGAGAGTATATTCCAGTGATCTTAATCTCTTGTTGAAATTTTGTCAGCTTCACACCATAAGACTTAACAGCCTGATTTCTGTTAATCTTACATAATCACAATCAATGTACTTATACTAGTATTTTTCCTGAAACTCAAAAAAATGCTTCAGAACAGCATACTTTTAAAACTTGAAAGGAAGTTGTCAGATGCAGAATTTTCCCCAGATATCTTCAGTCCACAAATTCCATTTCAAATGATACAATAACTGAGATGCAAAATCTATACATTCATCAGTCTTGGTTTTAAATAAAATTAAACATTAATAAAAATATCGATTTATTTTTCAAAGAAAGGTTACCTTCTTCATTGTCTTTTCAGTTGAGAAGAAAGTAAGAAATAGGTTCCTCCTTTTTTTAGAATATAAAGATATATTATAGGTTAGTGTGGCCAGCAGATTCAGGCAGGGGATTCTGCTGTTCAGCTCCACCCTGAGGCCTCACTTGAGTACTCTGTCTAGCTCTGGAGCACTCAGCATGAGAAAAACATGGACCTGTTGGAGCAGGGCTAGAGTAGGCCACAAATATTATCCAAGGGCTGGAAGCTCTCTGCTGTGAGGCCAAGCTGAGGGAGTTTTGATTGTTCAGCCTGGAGAAGAGAAGGTGCCAGGGAGGCCTTATTGTGGCCTTTCAGTACTTGAAGGGGGCCCATAACAAAGATGGGGACAGTATTTTTAGCAGGGACTATTGTCCTCTAATATGATAGGACAAGGGGTGATGGTTTCAAATTAAAAGAGGTGAGATTCAGGCTAGATATAAGGAAGAAATTTCTTCAGCTGTGGGTGGTGAGACATTGGCACAGGTTGCCCAGAGTGGTGGTAGAAAGTCCATCCCTGGAAACATTCCAGGTCAGGTTGGACTGGGCTGTGAGCAACCTGCTCACAGGTTAAAGATATCTCAGCTCACTGCAGGGAGGTTGGACTAGATGACCTTTAAATTTTGATTCCATGATTCTATGGCTGTGACACGGAAAATTTTACTGAATCTTAACATATTGCAGCGTGCAAGTTAAACAGTTTCAGTAGGAATTCAAATGTGCAAGAATCTTTAGAATATCTCCTTTTTCCAGGTGTCAGTTATGAAATTATATCCTTAAACACTGTTTTATGGTTTGCTGTTCTTTCACTTCACTTACAGTGATTTTTCATTGGTTGCCAGCAAATTAGTCTTAAATGATTCTGGCTTGAAGTGATTGTTTGTAAGGTTTTTTTTTGTCTATCTGGTGGTTGTGCATTTAGCCAGGCATGAAAAATTAGATAATGATATACTACTGTATCTGGAAGGCTCACTAAAGCCTGGCCTACTTGTCGTGTTCAGCACCTATCTACTTGATGTAGGGTGCAGCTAGTACCATGTAATTTCATTGCAACTGCCTGAAAAAGTTTTATTACTGTATTGCCAATTTTCAGTCCTGAAGCACTTAAAAAATACTTTTGTTTCTTATCAGATTTAGGAATTTCCTAATCCTGTTTGAATTATATATGGCTTCTACCACATATATTCAAGGAATCTTCATATTTGTCTGCTTGTCTTCTGTTTCTGCCTGTCACTGTTACTCCTCCTCTTATGGCATCTTCCATGTGTTTACTTTTCATGCCACCCTGCCTTTGTCAGATAACCATTTACAAATCCCAAAGCAGTAGGCACATCTCCAACAAAGACAAAAGCTCCTCCTTTAAACTGTACACCTCTTGAGAGGAGTCCAAGCTGGAACCATTTTCACTCAAAAAGGCCTTTTTCGTGATACATTCTTCCAACCTTATACTTTAAAGATATACTTTCTCTGCTAATCAGGGAACTATAAAATGTAAAACTTTTTTTCCAGATACGTACAGAAAAAACAGCAGAGATTTTCAGTATCAAACAGGGACAAGTATCTACCAGGAAAATCACATTTATGTGATTTATAGCTACTTCATGCAGTTAGACTGTGATTACTGATGGTTATCAGTATGCAGATGTTACTTGCTGGGTTCAGTTCCAGTCTTGTTATGACTGGGAGTAGTTCTGGGGTGGACCTTTCTGCTTCAGACCCAAGGAAGATAGCATCAGACCTTTTACTTGCTAGCCTACACAGCATCTGAAATGACTGGGACACTGGGAGGGTCATTGTATTCTTTTCTTCTGTCCCCTTTAATTCTGAGATTCCTACTCAGGGAAAACCAAGTGCCAGGATAGATAAGTGGTTTTGATGTGACAGTCTTTGACAATGGAAATTTTCTGAACTCTACCTCTCCTTATTTGCTAATGCAGAACTCTGCTTTTTCCAGGCTCAATATGCCTCACTTCATACAGTTATACTTCCTGGCTCTATTCCTCTACTTTGTAGAAGATTTTTGCCCCATAGCAGGAACAATTTATGAGTTAGATTTATCTGGCAAAACAAACCAGATTGAGGGTGATCCTCCATTAGGTCTTCTGATTAATTCCTGTTTCAGTGAACGCAGGCTATGAGTTTTGGTTAGGACATCTAATTTTTTTCTAGATCAGATAAGCTTCACTTAATGCCTGCGTTGTTCATCCTGCCTTCCCTGAAGTGGCCCATGGACTGGTTTTTTTTTTTTTTTAGGATTACAAAGTTGTTTCTGTACGCAGGCTATGAGTTTTGGTTAGGACATCTAATTTTTTTTCTAGATCAGGTAAGCTTCACTTAATGCCTGCATTGTTCATCCTGCCTTCCCTTAAGTGGCCCATGGACTCTGGGTTGTTTTTTTTTTTTTAGGATTACAAAGTTGTTTCTGTCTGTCCTACAGTGAGGTCTTAGTTTTCTATATATGCAGTCTTCTTGGGCTTGAACTGCAGACGATCATGACTGACTGACTAGTCCTTTATGGAGTTTTTAATTTTTGGGGAATGCACTGAGGAGTTTAACAAAACTTCAGTCAGTCTTTATGAAGATGTAGACAGTGCTCTGAAGAAATTCTTGAGTGTATATATTTACAGTCCTCTGTGATGTGTGTGTGTATGTGGCCACTCTAAAAAGAAAAGGATATTACATCACATGTACTTCTTTCTGAAACATTAGGGGAAAATATTTTCTTCTGAAGAGATGCATGTACATAACGCATAGTAAGTGCAGTGTGTACATGTGCTGTGTAAGGGCAGAGTACATCTGTAAAACTGGAAGACATTGCACAGCACCTAAATGGACAGTAGTAATGTGATGGTTTCTATCCACACCAAATTGCACTTCTGCTATGCAAGTGCAGTTTGACAAGGTAAGAAAAAAACAAGTATCAGAAATTACCTGTTGGCTGTACCTGGAGCACTGGGATGGGAAATAGCAGATACCCCTCCTCTTCTGAATTGAAAAAGAGAGAACCAATGGGATGAGAGCCTGCCTCCAGCTGTACTGAACCTCCCATTATCCTAGACAATGTGTGTGTTTGCCTTAGAAATCAGTGTGGCTTGAAGTGTATTCAACTGCATTCAAATGAATTCAACTGCCCAGAAGCTCAGGACGTCACAACAACAACAACAAAAAAAGGTAATGCATTATAAAGGACATGTACAGCTTTCTACTTAATGAATATCATTATTCAGGCACTGTCATGAGAGCTTTTTTTGAGGTTTGGTGAAATGATAGTCAGCTACTCCATCATCCCTTAGAGATACTGACTGCCAGCACAGAGAGTGCCAAGCAAAGCCTGGCATTAATTTTTTGACTAAGATTGTATTTGCATTCCTAATTAGATACATTCCAGACAATTCTACTTTCATTTCAGACTGCCTGTAAGAAGCTTTAGTAAATCTGATGGTTATTCAGATGTATGCTATTACCAAAGCAGCCAAGGTGAGGAAATAAATGTTCTGTGGCCAGCTTACAGGGGCTTACTGACACAGTGCCAAAGAGCAAGGCGTTGCTGATTACAGGGGACTGCAAGACCAAATCAGGGGAAGAAGATGTTGATCAAAATATAAATGAGAAGTGTAAATGAACAAGGACATTGATTCACAGGGAGCAATTTTTCAGCATCAAAGTAAAAGCAGAAACTCTCCAGATCAATTCCTCAGGAAGCATTTCAAGAATGTAATTACAGAGAGAATGTTTTTAAAAATAGAGTTCCTAACTGTAAAATGCTGCCAAATACTGTTGTTAATGCAAATTATCAGATATGCTTTTTAGCATCCAAGCTTAACCATAGATACATACAACATTAATTCTAGTCCTGCAGGTATAATGTGAATAACACTTGAGAGCAGCTAATTAGTGGAAGGTGTGCTGCACTGATGAGCTGTAATAGAAGTGCCTTTAGAACTGCAGGATGTTTCCCTTAATATGCTTTCCATTGTTTCACTTCCAAGAATTAAATCATTCAGTGGTAGCTGTTGATTTGAAGTCATCGGATATTTGATCTAGGGTGTATAGCTGCATGTGCTTATCAGTGTCTGTATTGCTCACTCATTTTTTGACTCTTGAAGTGTCTGACTTTTGTTAAATTGTAGAAGCTTTGGGATATTGATTTTGCACAGAAATATCTAGGCATTATCTGGGTAGTGTTTTAATCTGAATATTACTGTTATGGAAATAGATTAGGGTAGAGAGTAAAACTAAAGAATTCTGCCATGTGAAATATATGGAAAGGTTAGAGGAAAAAGGTTGACA